ATTGGAGTTTCAGCTTCAGCATAAGTAAGCAACTTCCAATGAATATTCAGGACTAATTTCCTTTAGGATGGACTGATTGGATCTCCTTGCAGTTCAAGGGACTCTCAAGAGTCTCCAACACTAAAGTTCTAAAGCATCAATTCGGCACTCAGCTTTCATTATATACTGTAAGGTACATTAAAAGGATTGGGAAACCCAACCAGAAATGGTAGAGATTTGATCAAATCAGTTGAACTCTACTTCTCATATCTTCATTTGCTTTTTCTAGAGCCACAATTCAGTAAACCACTCCAGTAATTTCCAACTTGGCAGTTAGTTTGTTCCCTTTTCTAAGGAATAGTGTATTTATTTGCTCTATTCATATACATACAGTAGCTAGTGCTTCTCAGGAAACAATTATCTTGATATTGAGAGAATTTTACTTTCCCTATCATTTTCTAAAAGTAAAAAGAACGCTCTCTAAATTTTATTGTCTGCAATGATTTTTCAATAACATCCTTCATAGGAATTGAAATATTTGGCCAGAACTCCGAAATTTGTATGGAGTACTAAAATATTTTAAATCCACTCTATCTGCTAATTAGAAGAACCCCAAGAAGACAGACAAATTCGAAGTTCACCTGGATCTTCGTAAGTTCACATTTTAGAGAATTCCCATCATTAGCACTTTATAATAATTTGTCTATCCCTATGTGCAAGGTTCTATGGTGGACTCAAGTTGAAATCACTCTGAATTTCTAAGAATTACTTATATCTCTGAATTAATTCAAGAACTTCCGGTGAGCAGTGAGGGTATTGGCGGACAACACAAGGCTCACTGACGCACCATATGATTCATGACGAAGGAAACTATTTATTGAGTCAGTGCTTTCCAGTCCAGACCCAAAGTCCAAAACTTGAGTGAGAGACGCGGGCTTGTATTATTTGTGGTGACTGACTATCTGTAACCATTCTGATATTAAGAAAAATACAGACCAAGGAAATATGCACAGATAGAAATAGTATCTCCCTCACTTTTATTATTGAAAAGATGTAAACAATGGGCCCAAGATCTGAACTAAGTGAAACCGATTTCTTCTGCTAATGGTAAGGGCTCTTAGACAAATCTAAAACTCCCTTTGCCTGGGGAGCATTTCAATCTGCCTTTTTTCTTAACATTGAAGTGGAATCAAATTCAATCTCAAAGACTGAATTTGGGGTGAAGCAGAAGAGAACAGACTTGGGCCCGCGCCTCCCCCGTCATTCCGGGGAGGGTCCCGCTGGGCCCGCCAGGCACCGGGCACGTGGGGCCACTCGTTTGCCCTGCGCCCGGCAGGCCCAGTGGTGAGCCCAGGGCGGGGAAGCGAGGTCGGGCTCCGCAGTCCCGCAGCCTTGAGGAGCCTCCAGCCGCAGCCGGTGTGCGGACTCGGCTGGGTCGCCTCGCTGGAGAGTGTCCCCAGACGAGAACCTTGGGGTCGGGCTAGAAGAAGACGGCTCTGCGGCGGACGGACGGGCGAAATGGGCGGGCTTGAGCGCCTCCGCTGCACGCTGTGAGGTGGCGGCCCGTCGGCCCAGACCGCGGGCCAGGGACGCGGGAGGCTCCGGGGTGGCTGGGCCTGCCGGCGCCCCAGGGCCGCCCCCGTGTCTGCGGCGCCTGTGTTCCCGCCGTCTCCGCCGCTTCTCGGTCTTCCCGGCCCCCGGAGCGCCCGCGCCCCTCACGGAGCAGGCGCACCGCCCTCAGTCCCGGCCGGCACTGCCTGGCCCCGCAGGGGGCCAGCCTCGCCCACGTCCCCCGGCTGGGGCCGAACTGGCCTCGTCTCGCGGGGATGTAGTCCCCCTGCCTCTTGGCCGGCGGTCCGCCGGGCGGAGAGCCCTCAGTGGTTCTGGGGGGCGCTGGGCACGGAGGGCTGCGCGTGGGGGGGGGCACAGGACGGCAGTACCGCAGTGTTCTCCCGGCGGGTGCCCGGACCGCCTCAGTGCTGGAGGCCTCTGGCGGTGAGACCCCGTGATGGGCCCCGGGGGCCTACTTGCATCCGGATCATTTTGAACAGCAGAGGGGCCGGTCGTGGTGGCGCGCAGCCGCCCCACCTCCACCCTCAGTTTGGTGTTCTGGAGAGTTGTTATTTAGTTGCTAAGTCATATCTGACTCTTTTGTGACTCTATGGAATGTAGCTCGCCATCTTCCTCCATCCATGGAATTTCTCAGGCAAGAATACGGGAGTGGGTTGCCATTTCCTTCTTCAGGAGACTTTCCTGACCCAGGGACTGAACTGGTGAATTCTACATTGACAGGCAGACTATCACTAAGCCACTAGGGAAGCCCCCTGGAGCTTTAGATAAAGTCAAATAAAACTAAGTCAGTGCGTTTTTATTAAACACATGTGCTCTGTGGCAAGTCCCCAAGATTATGCCAGTTTAAAAGCTCTAACAAATCTGGGAGTAGATATGGCAGCTGCGACTGTGTTGTTTTGCGTTTCTGCAGGAACATTAAGCATCTAAGAAAGAATCCAGGACTTCATCCCCTGGGAAACTTGAAACCTATATTATTCGCAGCTCTTAAAACACATAAATTGCAACTCAGGGATCTTCAACACCTTAGATAAAATGAAGCAAAAGGTGGTACATTCCCTTTGTTAAAAACAGTAATAGAACAGGGTAGATTTTATCTTCTATCACTAGAGGGTGAAGACATTGACCTATTCTTGATAATTCATAAAAGTATAAAATTCACATTATATAAGGCTAACAAGGCTTAACCTATTTTCCCTTCCAGCACATCAAAGAAATTTTTCTTTAATTGCAATCAAGTACACAGATCACATTATTCTCCAAAATGTCTATGTTGAGAAAGTCCAGCTGCTGCTGCTGCTGCTGCTGCTGCTGCTAAGTCGCTTCAGTCTATGTGTCTATAAGGGTCTGTGCGACCCCATAGACGGCAGCCCACCAGGCTGTCCCGTCCGTGGGATTCTCCAGGCAAGAACACTGGAGTGTGTTGCCATTTCCTTCTTCAATGCATGAAAATGAAAAGTGAAAATGAAGTTGCTCAGTCGTGTCTGACTCCTAGTGACCCCATGGACTGCAGCCCACCAGGCTCCTCCGTCCATGGGATTTTGCAAGCAAGAGTACTGGAGTGGGGTGCCATTGCCTTCTCCGGAGAAAGTCCAGCATCTCAGACTTAAATTCCTGTCTTCAAGAGATGCTGTGAAAAAGACCAATGTCTACAATACCCCACCAAAAAAGAAAACATGATATGGAGTGTGGCCTGTAAGCCTTTCCTGTAAAAGTCCAGAGTGTAAATACTTTAGGCTTTGCACCAGTATGGTCACAATCATGCACATCTTCCTTTGTAGAGAAAAGGCAACCACATACAATGTTTTAATAAATAAGCGTACTTGTATTCTAGTAAAACTGCATTTATTAAAACAGACATCTGGCCAAATTTGGCTCAAAGGTCTTAGTTTTCCATCCCCTGATCCAGGTATATCTATATTCTGACACACAGTAACATTTCTCATATTTATTTAGGGTCTCACTTTTATGTACCAATATATACTGAAATAAACATAAGCATGTACCTTAAAGGGTTTCCCTCCTGGCTCAGACGATAAAAATAAATAGTGAAAGAAATGAAATCCTTCATTTATCATCTTATATCATTTGTAATGACGGTATTCTGATGAAGAATATCCTTAGACACCTAATGTTCACCCCTTTAATGCTATTTTCCCCTACATCAACCCAACTTTTGTTCATTTTTCTATATTGTAGATCATTATTCCTTGCATTATAGTAAGTACAATTTAAATTTTTTCTTATTATGTTTGCTGATGACATTTTTAGAGCACTTGAACTTTTAGAGGTATATACCCTCAATCTGCAGTGATTTTCCAGTTATTTCCATTACCACCACCTTTTATATCAGCTATCAATGCCAGTGTATGTCTTTCTAGTAATCCCTCTTCTTATTCCCATACTTCCTCCCACCATAGTCCAGTCTGCTCTCTAATGAAGAACTGAATTATGATTGAAAGGCCTAGATAGCCTAGCTTCTGGGACCATATAAGTCACCACAGACACCTTGGCCCTTTGGAAAAGCACTACATTTCCCTTCCGGGTACACAGACTTTACAGAAACTATTTTTCACAATACCCAAAATCTTGGTTGCTTTTCTTGTCCCAGAACATTGAGGTTACTGGAAGTCAGATTAAACATAAATGATGAATTGTCCTAGTCTACTAATACCACTTTATTTTCCAACTTGTTTATTGGAAAAACTGATAGAAGATTTTTCTTTACTGATGTGGCTACTGAAACTTACTCTCACTAACTTGGATAGTTTAGCACAAATGAACCTCAAACTTGGACCCTGATCAGTGGCCACAACCTTTATGGCATCGGGGACTGGTTTCACAGAAGACAATTTTTCCACAGACCAGGGCTGGGGGAAGGTTTTGGGATGATTCAAGTGCACTTAACTGCTGATCTGACAGGAGGTACCAGTCCATGGCCCAGAGGCTGGGGACCCTTGATCTAGGGGACCATGTAAAAATTCCCAAACCCTGGGTCTCAACCTTTAGAGTTTCTAATCATTTGGTTTTGGAGATAGAAAACAGACATTAGGCATTTTGGGTCTTGTTTGTTTCAAGATTCCCAGATTATTCTTATGTTAATCAGTGGCTAAAAACTGCTGTTTTCCCCTATCCAGCTTCTTTTAGGAGTCTGTATAAAGAATAAGAAAGGGGTGGTTTACCTTGATGCTCCTCTTTCTTTTTAATATGGACTTTCTGTTTAAACATTCTTAACTTTCTGTGCCTTGAAAAATGCCATGCTGGCTTATTTCCAAGTGGTTGCATTTCAAAATATCTACTTCTTTTGGATGATCTCACCATGTGGAACATGTAGTAAGGCTAGCGCCTTCAGTTTTAAGATGATTACTCTCTTTTCTACTACTGCATCTTAAGTAAATGCTTTCAATAACTGTGAAGGAAAGTGAATGTTACTATCTATCTCTTGTTCATAGCGCCAGAAGAATGGGCCACAACTCACTCCAGCCTGAAAGCACCTCCATCAAGGTCAGCCCGAGGGGGATACAGGGAGCACCCCTATGGTAGATACTGAGGGTCCTCATCGCCTGTGACCTCACCTCAGAGACAGTTCATAGCCTGTGGTCTCCACATAAACAACAACATGACAAGTAATAGTCCTTTTTTTGTTCCTATTCTAGGGATAGCTGCCCATGATTGCTCCCATATATTTCTTGTATTTCCCCTATACAGTTGGCATGACAATGACACTATTATTATTATTTTACAACACAGACTAAAAAAGATGTTGGCAAGCATCATCTATAAACCATCATTCAGTAGGATGATACTCTCTGGGTTGTTTTCATTGTTGTGTGTAATCTTTTTCTCTCTCTCTCTATTTTTTTTTTTTTAAACAAAGAGCATGAATCTCTTAACAGATTTTGAGTCTCAATCAATTAGAAAAACTTTGTTTAAGTTTACTAAAAGACTGTAACACAATATTTGAACTAGCTATAATAAAGTTGTAGATAAGATGTTTTAACCTGTCTTTTAATATCTGTTAGTTAGATGAAGCTGTTTGATATTAAGTTTGTAAATTTAATTTTAAATGCTGTTTTAATGGAGTTGAAAACAAGCAGCTACTGTATGTATGTAGCTAACTGAATTTGTTTAGTGTTTTAACCTGTATTTGTTAAAAAAGAAAAAAACACACACATAAAGTTCCATGTGTAAGCTTCTCTAAATAGGAAACCACAATTTGTCAAATATGTTTGCCATAATTTGTCAATAAAGCTGAAAGCTTTTGTAAAAACTAAATTTGGAATTACTTGTTTTCTAGCTTTAAATGCCTGCTTTATTTCTTTTTAAGATATGCCTAAAATGTTTTCTATTTAAAAATTACAAAAATGAACCCAAGCCTGTTTTAAGATATTTGTGTAATACTTTAAAAGTGTACTAATAACTTATGGTTGTTAAATAATTTAAAAGTTAGCAAACTAAACTGTTACATGAATCATGGTTAGTAGACACTAATGTATAACATGTTAATGGAAAAAAAATGGATTTAGAATAATAAATGGATTTTAAACTATCCTCTAAGCTTTATCTTGCTAAACACAAATTCTGGTTGACTTGTTTGCATTAGCTTGTCTCTCGTGAGAAAGAGTAATGGAGTATAAAGAGGTAAGATTACCACTTACCACTGTCTAAATGCCTAGTTCTTCAACCTTTGAGTTTCCCGCACATTAAATATCCCATCCAACATGTAAGCATTGCGTAGATTCACTTTATTGTTTTCACTCAAAGGAATATGTGGTCTTCATTTGCGTAGTTTACAACAATTTGTTTTGACAAACAAATCATCAGTGTCACTGGCCACTTGTTGCTATTCAACCTCAAAACTTTATTTGTAATTTTCAGTGCTAAATATCACCGCCCTTGAAGGCAGTTTAGAGGGCTGATATTTCTTTTGAGACTATCAGACTTGATGGCTGATGATTGTTAACGAAATATGTCGCAGGACTCAAAGGATGACTAAACGTTAAAACAGGTAACACTAGTAGTAACTCTGTAATTTTGCTATGCAACAGTAATGTTAAATATTCTCAGTTATTAAGTTCCTGATAGTTAAAAAAGTAAACCTACAAAAACATAACAAATAGGTCTATAGGTTATTAAAACAACTAATTAACGTTAACTAGAGGCACCAAAATTATTTTACAATATATAACCCTCAAGGTAATAAACAGAACTAAAATTAACAATAATAGTAATGCAAGTCTTGTTAACATCAAATGTAAGCTAAATTTTGATGGAACAAAGAAAATGAAAGACTCGATGGTAGGGATGAATGCCAAAACTGTTAATCTCTTAAAAACAATTTTTTTTGTTTATGGTGGCTTTTGTCAATGTAATCGGTTTACTTTTTTGCTGCTAACCAGCTTAGGCATATTGCTGTTCAGTTCTTGCAGCTGGAGTTGCATGCTGATAGTTTTATGAAGTGTGTGTCTGTCATCAATTAAATGTCTAACATTTACCTTTCACAAAATGCTATTGAGTTGTATTTAATTTGTACTCTATTTTTTTTTCCCCACTATTTCAGGTAACCACAAGCAAAGAGCACATAGTTGAATAGCAGGTGTGATGGGCTAAGAAGTACAGAGGTAAGTTTATTTTTATGCTGAGAGAGATAGGTATTCTTCACCAACATGAAGCTATGCAGCAAGCTAAAACACCAAATGTCACTTGTTGAAATGCTAAAGGTTTACTTTCTTGTCTAGGAATTGAGATATTTGTATCTTCTTTTGAATAAAGTAATCTAACTTGGTATTTACCCAGCAAAGTTTTCTGAGCTTATTCAGAAGCTTGTCAAATGAAACATGAATTTGTAGTTAATCTACAGCCCTTTTGCTATGAACTTCTATATATTATCTCTTCTTCACTGTACAAAGAAAAAGTGTTAAACATTTTTATTCTGCAGATATAAGAAAAGGAAATCACAATTATTGACTGAGATAGAAGGGATGGGAAAGGAAGCCCCATAACCAACTCCTTTCCTACTCTCTGTCAATAAAATAACATTTATTACCATTGATATTTAGTCAAATAAATAAACTTACCATCATTTTCCTCATTATCCCATTAGATCTATCAGTAAACTCCTTGTTTCTTATCTGTTGCTCTCTTTGATTCAGCAAATATTTACTAAGTACAAAGCAATTGGGAACTGAGACTTGATTTCTATACACAAAGAGCAGAAATGTTTAGTCAATAAACCGCAGACTGAAAACAATGCAGTGGCAGTTATGGGATCCACAGGCAGGCCTGAGATTTGGCATGCTCTTGCCAGGATGCTTCAAACCAGGATAAAACCCAAGTTTTCTCCTGCTGGTTCTGGTCCTCTTATCACTACACAAACATTCCTGATACATTGTAGCCTTAAACTAATGCCATAGGTGAGGGATGAGAGAGCCTCATGACTGGACGGAGCCAAGAGGCTGAGACCCACGGACTGAGAGGGGCAGCCTGTGCAGGGAGGAGGGGAGGCCTGCCTGGGGAGGGAACAGGCTGAAGCAGATCTTGGAGTCCAAACAGCTCAGGAAGCGCCTAGAGGAGCAGGTCAATGGGACACGAGCGTCCAATTCATGAAGGCACCGAGCAAAAGCAAAACCTGGAGATGTGGTGTTGAGTCAAGTCCCAGTGGTCCCCGAGTGCTGTACTAAATTGTTTAAATTTTATGGGAAAAATAAAAGGAAGCCACTGTAGGTTTGAATCAGAAGAAATATTCCCAAGAAAATAAGGCAAAACGTACATTGAGTTTTATAGTTAAGAACTGCCTTTACATCTGAGCAAGCTTTTCTAAGATTCAAACTGTTAAAATAACTTAAATACCTTATATTCCCCAGTGTCTCAGCAGTAAAGAATCCACCTGCAATGCAGGAGACCCCAGTTCGATTCCTAAGTTGGGAAGGTCCCTGTAGAAGGGATAGGCTGGAGAAGGCAATGGCAACCCACTCCAGCACTCTTGCCTGGAGAATCCCGTGGATGGAGGGGCATGGTGGGCTGCAGTCCATGGGGTCGCAAAGAGTCGGACACGACTGAGCGACTTCACTTTCACTTTTCACTTTCATGCACTGGAGAAGGAAATGGCAGCCCACTCCAGTGTTCTTGCCTGGAGAATCCCAGGGATGGTGGAGCCTGATGGGCTGCTGTCTGTGGGGTCGCACAGAGTCGGACACGACTGAAGTGACTTAGCAGCAGCAGCAGCAGCAGCAGCACCACTTCCCACTCCAGTATTCATGGGCTTCCCTGGTGGCTCAGATGATAAGGAATCTGCCTGCAATGCGGGAGACCTGGGTTTGATCCCTGGGTTGGGAAGATCCCCTGGAGGAGGGGCATGGCAACCCACTCCAGTATTCTAGCCTGGAGAATCCCCATGGACAGAGGAGCCTGGCAGGCTACACTCCATGGAGTCACAGAGTCAGACATGACTGAGTGACTAAGCACATAAGATAAATCATGAGAACCTACTGTATAGCTTAGGGAACTCTACTCAGTACTCTCTGGGGACCTAAATGGGAAAGAAATCCAAGAAAAGAGAAGATATATGTATATGTATAACTGATTCATTTTGCTATACAGTAGAAACTAACTCAACATTGTAAACCAACTATAATAAGTGTTAGTCTCTCAGTCATATCTGACTCTTCAGGCTCCTCTGTTATGGAATTCTCCAGGCAAGAATACAGGAGTGCATAGCCATTCCCTTCTCCAGGGGCTCTTCCTGACGCAGGGATCAAACTCAGATGTCCTACATTGCAGGCAGGTTCTTTACAATCTGAGACACCAGGGAAGCCCAAAGCAGCTATACTTCAATAAAATTAACTTTAAAAAAGGTTAAAAAAATTACTCTTTTTATAAACAAAGAGGATTAGGAATCTTTAATCCAGGTATCCTACATATTCTTCTCTGATACGTTTTAAATAGCAGGCTTTATTTTGTAAAGCCAAATAGAGAAATCAGTTGCAATTTGTTACTATTTGGATATATTAGTAATATGTTTTTGTCTCCATTGTAATTATTTTATGTTGCTGTTATTGTCGTTTTATACCCCATGATTCTCTAACCATTCAGACTTGATCTTCTAATGCATTAACTCAGGGCAGGACTATCACAGCAGAAATGCCAGTGTTGAACAAGAGAAAATATCCTTGACTGTTTAAATTAAGAGTTTTTAAAGTTCAAAAACAATGATCTGTAAGAAAGGAGATTTTGAGTTTCAAAAACCTGTGTTTTGAATAGGTTCAGAATAAGACTTAAAAGAGTATATTTTAAAGACTCCTATCCAAAAATAAAGAAAAAATTAATTAATTAATTAATAAAGACTCCTATCCACCTCCATATAGCTATAAGACAAATATTGTTCAGACTGAGAAGAAAGCTCAAGAGATAGCAATATCTAAGATACTAGTATAAAGACATCAGTGTGGTCAAGAGTCTGAGTCTGTACACTAAATCAATTATTCAATAAAAGCCTTACGCTTAGATAGGCTTAGAACACAAGAAATATTTGTCTAAAGTGGAGCCTGGAGA